GTAATTAGTAGTAGTAATTAGTAGTAGTAATTAGTAGTAGTAATTAGTAGTAGTAGTAGTAGTGGTAGTAGTAGTAGGTAGTAGTATTTAATAGTGGTAATTAGTAGTCGTAATTAGTAGTAGTAATTAGTAGTAGTAATTAGTAGTAGTAATTAGTAGTAGTAGTAGTAGTAGTAGTAGGAGTAGTAATTAGTAGTAGTAATTAGTAGTGGTAATTAGTAGTGGTAATTAGTAGTAGTAATTAGTAGTAGCAATTAGTAGTAGTAGTAGTTGTTGTTGTTGTTCTTGTTTTGTGAAATATCCGCGGTTACGTGATCTTGCGTGCAGTTACTGGCAGACACGTTGCGGAATCGAACTGTTGAACCAATCTTGTTGGAACAAAACCATTCCATCGGGAACAAACACACCCACAAGTTCCAAGGAGGGGTTCTAAACATGGTTTTGAACCCGCAAGTTCCATCCTGATGACCCGAGTAAAGGCTTCCAAAAATTAGAGTCCCCTTATATACAGGCTCACTTTGTTGCGGGTCTATAGGTGACCTCGAACTGGGGTATGACGTTTGCTCAGTTGGCTCCGAGCCAGGTATACTGGAGCCCCTGGAGCCCGTTCTGACACCCCGTCCGATTCGCACCCTGTGCACATCCTGAAACCCACTGAAGAGAAACGCGTCGACCCTGCTCCAGGCTGCTCTGACTCACCATCGAGCGCTGCGTTTGCACTCCCACGCGGGCATGGTTGACTCCTGAGCAGTCGCTTCGATTTCCTCGCATCAATGACACGTTTTGCTATATATTTCATATGTCTCATATAATTATACCGTATACCCAAACCAAAGGCTCATATATGTCTCATAAATATACCCAAAGGCTCCGGCTCATGGACCCAAACCAACTGCTACATGTTGCTTTGGTCCCAAACTCACTCACCCTCTAATTGGTGAGGGTCCAACTGGTCCCAGCCAACCTCGGCTGTGCTCCAGTCGGGCTCCGGACTCGTTTCGGTGTTTCGGTGGGACGGGCCGGGTGAGCCAGCCAGTCGGGTCCTGGACCAGTCATATCGAAGCGTTGCTCCTAGTGGTACATGCTCCTGTAGTAGCGATGCCCCTAGTAGCGATGCCCTTGCTCCTAGTAGCTTCTTGCTCCTAGTACTAGTAAGGCCAGGAGCCCCTAGTAGCGTCCTTGCTCCTAGTAGCGATGCCCTTGCTCCTAGTAGCTTCTTGCTCCTAGGAGCCCTATAGGAGTCATATGATTCCAACATTTCGATATACCCGGTTGGTGTGTGAGATGAACACTGCCGCTGCTACATCTCCTAGCCTAAGGCCCCTGGGGCCCCGCCTGGACCTTCGAGTCGGGACAGAGTCTTTTTCTGCTTCCTCAACGTCGATGAAGGTACAGAACAGCCGCAGCGCCATGGGAGAATTGGGGTCCGGACTCGTCTCTCAATCAGGGACGTTCCGCCCAAACTGGACAACTGAGCCACAAATCTTTGGCGCGCAGAGATTGTGGCACATCGATCGAAACCTGGATCCGGGCCGTGTTCCTTTTAGCCTCAGTGTGCCGTAAGGGGTGAAAAGCTAAGAAATCGTCGTACTGGCACCATAGCATAGTCATACTGGGGCCTCAAGACTCGTGACTTTGAAATCGACCCAATCGACCTGATCTAGTGATCTTCGAAGGCTAGCCGCTGATTTGCCGTCCCCGTCAGAGAGACAGTTTACCCTTCCCAAAGAATCCATGCATGTTGCTATTTACCTATACATTTGGGTGGTTTGAGGGATAGCAGTCGCAGTCGAATATGCTAGTCCCATGCTGTACTCTCAACGCCTTACATGAACACCAGGAGACCGAATGAACATCACCGCTGCCATCCACTTCCCGAAGCCCTTCCCTCCTGAGAACCCCACAGAAACATGGGCTTTTCAAGTATAATTGTTACCATTTGACTGAAGTTCGTCAAGACATCGCTCCATGAGCTCAGACCTGATGGCCCGGTTTGAGTTGGTCCTTGGTGCCCGCGCATGGCCACCGGAACACCTTGAGCGCGCGAGGCCACAGCGTCCAACCTCGGCGCCGTGGCGCTGGTGGTGAACGTGAAGAAAGGGATCGTATGGGAGGTGCTTGCGCTGGGTGAAAAAGAGTGCGTCCGCAGGTGTGTGTGACCAACCAAACACCCCAACACCTGCCCCACCCTCGCTGAAGTAGGCCTGTCGGTGCTGAAGTAGGTCTCGCGGCTCAAGGCCAGATAGACATACCTGGCCAAGTGGTCCAAGTGGTGTCTCTGGTGACCTGAACAACTTGGGATGCCGAGCTTGGCTCCACCCAGTATGTGCGACACGGCAAGGTGAGATCGTGCCACCGCAGAGGGTCGTCCAGTCTGTGATGGGACAGTGGAGGTGACCATGACCTGAAAGGCCGAGAGCTATAACACGTCCAATTGCGCACTTGAGTGCCAAATTGCGCACTGGACGAGCATGACGAGCACGTTTTGCTTTTCGTGCGAAGTCCCGTTTCACAACAAAAAAGCATTTATTATACAAAATATCAGACTGCACATGGAACAAAGAAACGTTTCTTCTGATCTTTGGGATTCATCATGGCGTACTCTATCCCTTTTAGCCAACGCAGCCAACCAAAAATGTGAGCCAAACACTTCTCCCACCCCATCCGAGACTTTCTCCGACCTGCTCGTTGGCCCCCTCCGCCCGCTCCGTCCACACCTGTTGATCCACACCATGGTCAAGGCCCATGCCACGTCCAAGGTGAAGACATACCAAGCGGAGCCACCATGGACAAACAAGCAAAAGGTGCTGGTTGTCATCATCACCACCTCGAAAAGAGCGAGCTCTTATAAAGTGAGCTTATAGCTAGCTCAATTCGGCTCCCCACCCCCGGCGGTTTTTTGGGCGATAAGAGAACATCGCTGACGCGTGTGAGATGTATGACCTGTGGTGTGTGGCGTGGCGAAATCATGGGGTGATTTTTGTTCAGGAAAAGCTCGCCATCAACGCTGTTTAGGGAATCCTTGTGGGAAACCTGATTTGACGCTGTTTGAAGGACTCCTTGTGGGAATCCTGATTGGATCCTTCAAAATTCAGTGCATCTTATGCCCTAGCTAGGGCTCCAAGTGCCTTCTGAGAAGGTCTGCGGGGTAGGTGTGGAGTGCCTAGGTATATACCTGCTGAAGTACTTGAAGTCCTACATCCTGCCCTAAGAATCCCTGCACTCTCCATGAGGGTCGGACCTTCTCCAGGGCGTCACGCCCTGGAAAGGAGGACCTTGCTGCCACCCCTTTCCATTCCAAGAGCCCCGGATTCAAGTGAACACAGCTGAGACCATATAACCAAACACCCTGAACTCAACCAGTCACTCCTCTGTGGGCTCCCGGACGATGGCGGCGTAGTCGTATTGGAGCCACCACTCCTTTTTCCGCGACGGCCGAGAGGCCGGGTCCGACTCGTCGCTTGGACTGGATGACTGGACTGGATCGATCACTCCGGATGACTGATGTCACTTTGCCCAAGAAAAGATGGTAGGTGTGCACATATATAGCGGACAATTCATGTATTGATGGCGTATAGTCAAGTTGGTGTGAAACATGAAAACAAATTCCATGAACTGCTGCGTGTTTGTTGCGCTGATGTGCAATGATGCATGAATGTTGGAGTGTTTCAACTTGGAGATACCCATGGCCCAAAGGACTTCAAGGCAGGGTCATGACATGTCATGAACACTGGCAACCGAAGTCTTGTCTGCTCCAGGTCCATATATGTCGAAACGCAACAAATGTTGCTCTCCACCCCAACCCAACACAAACCCACTATACCTGGACCCTCCAGTTCGTACCTGAGAAAATGGGACATGAACCTATATAAAAAAAGGTACTGTATTTTCTGAAGTACGAACTGAGACTCCAGGTAATTACTATAATCTTGGGTTCTCCTCCACGCACGTGCAACGGTGCCCACACCCTGCGAGGTCTGGAAAGACTCTCCTGCTGCGCGCCGGGAGTAAACGTGTTTTTTTCCCACCGAACATGAATCGAATAGACTGCAGGGGAGGTGAATCGAATCCAGGGATGTTTCGGGGGTGAGATGACCCACCCAAATCACTGGTCCCATCTTTGGTTCTGCACCCTCACCGATACACGAAACACATCGAAACACAAACCAAACCCATCTCATGGAGACCTTTTGGATCGAAACAAATCGAACATCGAGATGTTTGCAGCACCCGCTGCACCCCCACCACCCCTGATCTGGACCAAGTGTCTGGTGGCTCCATGGCCTGCGAAGGGATGGAACATGATGATTTTTCTGCCATGAGTCATGCCCTAGGCCCCCAAGTACCTTCTGAGAAGGTGTTTGGGGTGGGTTTGGAGGGTCTAAACACCTTCTGAGGAGGAGGTGTAGGGATGAGGTGTTTCTGTTGTCTTAGTTTTGCTACATCTTGCAATGAAGGGGGAGCAGCTTGGCTCTGACGAAGAGTCGGTTGCACCAGACTTTGGCCTCCGGAAGATGGGCTGACGATGTGACCCTGGAAGAGGACACGGACCCAAAAAATTCTCAAGGTCGAACACCTTTACTTTATCAAATCAAGCAGGACCGCGTCCTCCAAATGGATTCAACAAATGACCAAAGATGGTTGCTCGCGAAGAAACCTCCATGAAAGCATGTCAAAGGGAATCAAACGGTCACGATGAACGCGATGAACAGCATAATCGATGAACAAAAATAACACATCGAATCGGTGTTACCAGTCAAGGACTGCTTCTTCGAAACCAGGTGACACGATTCTGTTTTTTCCATATCGTCTGACCGGCGAAGAAGAACGCACGACCTGAGTTCAGGAGCGAACGCTGAACGAAAGAATGTTCCAACAAAGGTTTTCTAGACCCCGAGTCGTTCGACTATCCGGTGACTATCCCAGCCGGGTACCCCAGGCATCTTGGTTATATCAGGTTCACTTATCAAACCTCATCCACCACTGCTTAGAGGGGGAGGGGGGTCAATTTCTTTTAGATGGTTTACCCCCTCTAAAAGGAAACTTTCTTGCATGCCGATGTCCCCGATCGCTTCTTCCATCCGTGGTTTCGCAAAAGACCGACAGTCCATGAACCCGGGGATCAAGTTCAGTCATGAACTAAGCCAAAGGCAGATGCACTAAAGTGACAATTTTGTTGCGTGACCAGTGCATTGAGGTGCGCGTGAAATGTTGGACAGGTCGGCCCTAATACGTTTGAGGTTCGTTTGAGTTCGTTTGGGTATCCAATCAAGGCCGCTGCGCTAGTTTTTGCCTTGAAGACCATGTTCCCAATGGATCCAAAATGCTCGCTCAGAAGGTATGTGGGGGGACAGGACCATCCTCCCAGAAAGTTGCGACCCAACACCATTCTGCGCAAATGTTGGGGAACCCTAGATTGGTGGAGTTTTGACAGGGTGTGGATGCTTCCATCGTGGAGACCCCACAACAGCTCAACCTGGATAAATTCTAGTCCCATGCATTGAGAAACATGCAGCCTGGAGGGTGCTTGGGGATTACGCAGTATGCATTTGCGTATCTCCAGCCCCACCGCCCGCGCTTGGCTCATCAGCGCAGTGTTTCTACCACATGGTGGATCCAGCCGCTTGGCTTCACCACGCATCAGCATCGCGCTTGTTGACCAACCTTGGGTACTTGTGGTAAAAGCAGCGTTGGAGAGTTGAAGTTTATGACCCAACAGCCAAGGGCAAGATAGAACAAGTACCATGATTGGAGGGCAAAGGGGACAGCAATCTCAAAGCCGGGTTAATCATGAAAAGGCAAGCCACCCAGTGAACCATCGAATCAGGCCGATGTGTTCAGGTGAAGTGCATAGGAACTTGCACAAACTTCCTTTACCTGGCCGATGAAGTCTTCACTTGCGAAGCCATGGTAGTATCGGCAGTTGTAGCCTGAGCTGGCTAACCGATTCTTAGCTGGCTGTAGGCGATTGAAACCAACACATCGGGGATTCTTGCAACAGAGTTCCACTCAAGCTGGGGTTCTAGTTTTGGGCCCGACCTGAAAAGGTCTTGCACTTAACAAGAAAAACCTAAACCGGCAGACTAACACTCATTTTTCAGAGATACCGAAACAAACCACCACCAGAACCAAACATTGCAAATGCACCAAGAAACGTTCTTTTTGCTGCGTGTTTGCCATCTCTTGGAACGCCTAACGACTGTTGAGTCAACATCAATTGCCCTGTAGAAAGCTGGGACTACTTGGGTGTTGAACACGAGTCATGAAAAAGGTTGCTCAACTCCAACTAGTGGCATGGAACTTCGGCCGTGCAGGCCAAAGGAGCTGCCCAGCACCCAAGGCTTCCACGGCCAAGTCGATATAGTTTCCCATGCACTGAACCCGCGACTATAAGGCACTCCCCACTTTCCAGCTTAAGCTAAGTAACATCCAAGCGCAAGTTTGGGCAGTAGAAGAAAAGAGAAAGAGATAGATGAGTCAATCCAAAGCACACAGCGCTGAACCATTGCAGCTGCAGAGCTTGCACAGAGGCAGGCCCTCACCCTCTG